TCATCTAAAAATTGGTACTGATACGTTTCTAAAGAAGCTATACTAAATAAGAAAATCTATTTATAAATTAGATCAAACGAAAATAATATACATTAGATGTATTTCAAAAATCAATTTGCAAACTATACAAAATCTAAATCTTACATTTTATATGTTAGTAGGTGGAGATAGAAAAAGGGAGAGAAAATTAAAGAAATTTAGAGGGATGGTAATAAAGAAAGTTTGTATTTGAATGATAAAATTACTCCAAGTAAATAGTAATAAGATGATAAATTTCACGTGGATCGCACTTGTTACTAACTAGTTAAAAAAATACCCCAATTGTCCAGAAATAAGGTTATATTAAATGGGCCGAAGCATGCTAGAAGGGCTCAGAAAATGGGCCTATCACATCTATGAACGGCCCACTTTTCCAAATTCCTATTGACTAATACCATATATTTTTTATATAATTCATATTGTCATGCCGTTCTGTAACGGCTATTCTTGTGTTTTAAATTGCAACTTTGTATATATATATATATTTTTATTTTATTTTAATTGCAACTTTGTGTGTGTATATATATATATATATATATATATATATATTTTATTTTATTTTAATTGCAACTTTATATTATGATTTTTTTCAATGTTGGATATAAGGTATTTATTTTGATCCCCTTGAACTAAAAAAAGTCTATAGGTAAACCGTTCATAGGACCTGTGACTGGAAGAGCATGGAACCATAGGATAGAGCAACAGCTTCAACATTGTTGTGAGAGGAGAGATTCTAACAATCGTGAGAGAAGTAGAGACGGAGAGGGATGATACTAGTGTACTTGAGAGATATTATAAACATTTATAAAATCTCTTTCTCTTTTAATGTAGAATTCTTAACATGTTCCTTGATTATAACTCTTTTGGTTTGTCAATTTTGGCCAGATCCCATTTCTTGACCGATACTCATTTGAAATTTTGGGCTCAATACTATATGAGATTTCATTTCAAAACTAATTGACAATGAGATGAATAGTTCACATTTATTACAAACATTTATAAGGTTTATTTTCTTTTCAATACGTACGATCTTTAACAGGAGAAACAACTATAAAGTGTTTCCAAACCTAGTCAACTACCACAATTTGTTATCATCAAATGACCTTCTCCTCTAGCCATCTCTAACACTGCTACACTAAAGTTGAAAACATAATTTTCGAGCACAATGGTTGTAAGGAGTAGACAATTTAACTTTTGATCTCAACAAAGATAATTGGTACCTTATTTACCAAAGTTAGGCTCGAATTCGTTTATTACGTTCAAGTCTACATTTTTAAAAAACTAATATTTATTAAAGAAAACCCCCAATTGTCCAAAGATAAGTATATATTAAATGGGCCGAAGCATGATAGAAGGGCTCAGAAAATGGGCCTATCACATCTATGAACGGCCCACTTTTCCAAATTCATATGGACGAAAACCATATATATATTTTATATTCATATTGTCCTGCCGTTATTCTTCTGTTTTGAATTGCAACTTTATACTATGATTTTTTTCCCAATGTTTGGATAAGGTATTTATTTTGATCCCCTTGAACTAAACAAAAATCTCCATTATTAAGAGTAAACTGTTCATAGGACCTGTGACTGGAAGAGAATAGAACCATAGGATAGAGCGGCAGCATGAAAACCAACCATAGTTTGTCGATCATTTTCTCTCCTTCTCCTTCCCTGTGCGTCGTTCAGAAATTACAGGCGAAAGTTCCGGCCATGGCCGAATCTTCCCAGCTTTTTTGTTGCCGCCGCGCCGCCACCATTGTCGCTGCAACCATCCACTACCATATGGAGCAAGAAGGAAGAAAAAGTTTGCTGGGTAGAAGAAGTAAACTAACCCTGTTTTTAGTCCAATCACATTTTTGTGAGAATCTCTTTAATTTCAAATTTAAAGAAAAAAAAAATACGCGTGGTTGATTTGATTCTGGTAATCGATGTAGAAATGATGGGGGTTTAAATGCGAGATTACCACGCTTTAATGTTTTGTAACTGCCGGCTTTGTTCAAATTTTTGGTTCTTTCTCAATTTATATACAGTTTCTCCCTCAGTTCTCAAGCATTTAACGGCGGAAACATGGCTCAGGGTGGAGGCGGCAACGACAACAAACCTGCCGAGGATCCGCTTCAGCCACACCCGGTGAAAGAGCAGCTACCCGGAATTCAATATTGCATCAACAGTCCTCCTCCATGGCGTTCGCTCACTTTCTGATACTTATTTCACTTTTCCCCTTTTGTTATTTTGTTTGGATCTTTATTGATGGTCAATTCTTTCTATGATTTTATTTCAGCGGAGGCTTTTGTGTTGGGTTTCCAGCACTATATCCTGACTCTTGGTTTCAGTGTTCTGATTCCTAGTTTGATTGTTCCTCAAATGGGTGGAGACGATGTAAGATACTGATGAACTACATTTTATTTTGAGTAACTTTTCCTTCAAAATTTTCAACATGTCTTTAGCTTGTTGGGTTTTTTATTGAAACTCAGGCTGAGAAGGCCAAGGTGATTCAGAACTTGTTATTTGTTTCGGGATTGAACACTTTGTTTCAGTCCTTATTTGGGACTCGGCTGCCGGTGGTGGTCACCGGTTCATACTCCTATGTCATTCCTACCATTTCTATTGTTTTGGCCAAGAGATATGCTTCCTTTGAAAATCCTCATGAGGTAAGACTATGCTAATTCTCCTATTGCATTTCTACCGGTTCTAACTTCTAATACTTCTTCACTAACTTGAATGAATCTGAAGCAATAATTACATGCTACATTTTATTGCATCTTCTCCTTTAACTCTGGCGTTTACTTGTGTGCTTCAGAGATTCAATGAGACCATGCGAGGAATACAAGGAGCTCTCATAGTGGCTTCGTGTTTTCAAATGGTTATGGGTTTCGTGGGCCTTTGGAGAAATACTGTGAGGTTGGTAATGTTTAATATGTTTGTTTCTAAACCAGTTTAACTTCGTCGTTTTAGCAGAGTAGAGTAGAACATTTTTTTAATGACTTTTTCTTAATTATTTATGTATTAGATTTCTCAGCCCTCTTTCTGTGGTTCCGTGTGTAACTTTCACTGGGCTTGGTCTGTATCATCTTGGCTTTCCCATGGTAATAAAATAGATAAGCCTTTTGCTCTCGAATTCTTACCTGAGGCTATTTATTTTCAATCATATCAGCTACCTGTAGAGAGTTCTTTCTTATTATGTTCTTTGCTCTTTTAGCTGGCAAAATGTGTAGAAATTGGACTTCCGGGACTAATTGTTGTAGTTTTCATCTCACAGGCAAGTAAAAACTCATGTTTTTCCTCATATCAGTTTCATTATGTGGCTAGAGGGTATCACAAAATTTTCTTGGTTGATTGCGGTTTTGCAGTATCTTCCTCATTTATTGAAAACGAAAAAGCCAATATCCGATCGATTTGCAGTGTTGTTTTCAGTTGCAATCATCTGGTTATATGCACAACTCCTAACTTCAAGTACTGTTTATAATCACAAACCCAAAATTACTCAGAGAAGTTGTCGCACTGACCAGGCTGGACTTTTGAGCTCTGCTCGTTGGTAAAACTCTTTCTACTGAATGGGAATATTCCTTTCCGAAACTGTCGGAAACATCTTAATAGTCTATATGATTTCATTACCTGCAGGTTTTACTTTCCCTATCCATTTCAATGGGGAAGCCCCACTTTCAATACTGGAGAAGCCTTTGCAATGATGGCTGCTTCTGTCGTCTCTCTTTTTGAGGTTGATTTCTTCACTATAGATATATTTCCAATATTTTTCATGAGCAGGCTATTGTACGTCCTAATTATCTTTCTTTTAATAATAAACTATTACAGAGTACGGGAACATTTTTTGCCACATCAAGATATGGCAGTGCAACACCGGTGCCTCCATCCGTTATAAGCCGTGGTAGTGTTTGGCTGGTAAGATGTGTAGACTGTCTAATTTTCCCTCGAATTCTCATCTTTACTTCTTATAAGTTTTGGTTTTTTATTTTCTGAGTAATTCTTCTTTAATTTCAGGGAGTAGGAGGTTTGCTCAATGGCATGTTTGGCTCCATCACTGGCACTTGTGCATCTGTGTAAGAATAAGAATATATTTCACTAGTTTGCATGAATTAACAAAAATTATGTGGTTCGGTACAGTACCGAAGGATTGAAATCTGAGATTCAGTCCAGATTTCTACCATAAAATCCCAAGACGAACTAAGTAGGCTGTTGCTACTTGCAATACATCTTAACATATGGAAACTATCATATACACTATTGTTGAACAATTGGAAGTAGGACAATATATACAATATGTAAATGCATTTGGACTCTTGAGAAAGCCAACCTCATTTATAACATGTTGGAGTGTTGTTGTCTTATGATTATTATTGAATGTTTAGGGAAAATGCTGGTCTATTAGCTTTGACAAGAGTTGGTAGCAGAAGGGTCATCCAAATATCAGCTGGCTTCATGATTTTCTTCTCTTTATTTGGTATGGTAGCATGATTTCATTGGCAAAATATTGATACTTTTTGAGCCTTGGAATTACTCTACTCTCTGCTTTCCATTCCCCGAACAAACTGGCTCACTGTCATCATAACGACAGGGAAATTCGGAGCACTTTTCGCTTCTATTCCTCTTCCAATTATCGCAGCCTTGTATTGTGTCTTTTTCGGCTATGTCTGTACGTACCCCTCTCTCTCTATAACTTACCTCCATTTTGTCAGTCCTTATATTACATTAAACGACATGTGAAATTTGATTCTTAAAATGACAAGACAAGCCATATGGTTTACATTTTCCTATGAATGTTTAGATATTGTTGAAAATTGGACACTGACAGCAATCTAATGTTGTTCCTCCAGCTTCTGCTGGGCTTGGTTTTCTCCAATTCTGTAACTTGAACAGTTTCAGAACGAAATTCATCTTGGGGTCCTCCTTCTTTTTGGGTTTGTCAATACCACAATACTTCAGAGAATATTATCGTCAAGTTTTGAAGTCAGAGCACAACTACTCAGGCCATGGATGGGTAAGCAGAATGAGACAAAACAAAAAATCGACTACGTTAGTGAATTTTCTATCCCTGTTCTGGTCATTTATTGAATGTCCGTTGTTTCCTATTCTGCATTGCAGCTTAATGACGTGATCGTTGTGATCTTCATGTCTCACGCAACGGTGGCATCTTTGGTTGCTCTAATTCTGGACTGCACACTTTCCCGAGAAAACGATGCGACTCGAAAAGACAGTGGCTTGCATTGGTGGGAGAAGTTTTCCTTGTACAGTTCAGATGTAAGAAATGATGAATTCTATGCATTACCATTCTGTTTGAATAAGCTATTCCCATCTCTTTAAGGCCTCCAAAATGTCTTAGATTGCAAGAATTAGTATTTTCATCCTTGTACTGTACTGCTGAGGAAGTTGATCATTTTTTCATTAAAAAATTTAGAAAAGATTGGTTTATGATCTGCTGAGTTGTAATCAACTTGTCAAACGGAACTGAAACAGAAACAAAGCAACTCCATTTGCAAAAGCTTGGATTTTCTGCAACTATTAAATCAGGTCCAATCCATCAATCAGAACTTGAGCTTACTTACTACAAAGAAAGGTTCCAAAATTCAACTCACTTTGATTTTGAAGCTGTGGATTGAGAAAATGACATGTGAAAGTGAATGAAAGTTTTTAACTCCACTAATCTCACAAAAGCATTCAATCAATGGCTTCCACTACTGGTAGGAAAGACATTTTAAAACCAAGTGTTTAATACAAAATCGAAAAAGGCATGTTTGACTTCAACTCAGCTAACATATACGGATGTCGGATTATTTGTCTTTGGATTGAAAGGGAAAGAAAGCTGTGGAAGGAGAGAAGAATCTTTGAAAAGGTGGAATAATGAGAAGAAATGGATATTCTTCTGGAGGCAACTAACTGGCCATCTTTGACCTTGCTATCCTCCATTGATTTGGGGACCATCTTCTCTGCAACCAAAGCCCATAACTTCTAAATCTCCATACCAAGAAACTTGATGGAGTTTACATCTTCAGAACCTTCACTTTGAAAAGAGTTCTTCTTCTCAGTTCACACTCACCTGAAAGTTTTTTTTTTTCCTTTTTTTCACGTAATGGAAGTGAAACTGCACTGACTTTACAGATAAAAGAGGAAATGTAAAGGGATGGGATTACAATTTACAACAGTGTGCAGCACGACGATGACGGTCTAATCGAAAACGCCGACCAAAACCAATCTCCAATGGAAGAGAGTCTAACAACAAAAAAGGAGTCAATAATTTAGCCATGAGGGGCGTCCACCGTGGGGACTGCAGAATCTTAACTTTTTGGGCGATTTTTCAATAGGAAGACCCACCCTTTTGGCTTTTGGAAGATATAATATGAAATTGGACGCTTGAAATAGAAGCCAAGTATAAAGAAACAGCAAATACAGTAACTTAAAACATCCCAAGCTCTCCACTGTACCATTCAGTGCAGAAGAAAAACCATGGGGATGGAGGGGGGAAAAAGAGACAAAATAGGAATTTGAAAAATGGGATTTGCAAATAAGATACACAGTACCTAATTATATGCCTGTCGGTTGCTTAACAATAAATGGAAGTCCAAATACTTTACATTAAATACCAAACATTTGATAAGATAATGAGAAAAAGGAGATTCTTTTTATCATCTTCTTTTCCTGATTGAGAGAAAAAGGGAAATGACAGGATGGGTCAAAAAGGAGATGATAGGAAAAAGTAAAAATCCGAACTTAATCAATCAAATCTCTTAAGGGGATGGAGAAAAATGTTAAGTGTGTTGTAATGAAGGTAAAAATGGATAAAAGAAAATGGGGTTTCTTTGAATATTAATCGAAATGACAGCAGCACCCCACACCACCATTGTACATTAGCAGAGGGACCCTACTGTTGTTGCACATCCAAAGGTTTGTCCTTTTTGATAACATCATTGTTGTTGATTTGCCCATTGTTCTTGCCAACTGGCACCTCTGATTTGTCCACAAACAGATAAAAGGAAGAGAAAGGCCAAAAGATAGAACGAGGGATAAACTAACTCCAGGATTTTAGAAGAGGCAAATTTTTCTTATATATTCATTCCAAATCTTCCTCTCCTCTGCTCTACCTGAAACCAATTTTAGTTCTTGGCACCATGAATGATTGGTCTTCTGCACATTATTGCAGTGGAGGTGAATCAGGCTGGACTATGTACTTGGACCAATCCTATGATTCCGAGCATCGTTTCGGTGGCGGCGGTGTCGGGGAGAATTATAGGGAAAAAGAGGCAAAAGTAAGAACAGAGGAGGAGGATGAAGAAGAAGATCTATCAATGGTGTCCGATGCCTCCTCAGGTCCACCACATTACCTTGAAGATAACGAGGGATACGTTTACAATAATGGGTACTCTTCTTATGCCTATTCAGCTGCAGAATCAGCAGCAAACTGTAAAGAGGAGAAGAAGAAGAAGGGGAAAAAACATGGGAGAAATCAGCAACATTCTTACCTTGATGACACTGCAAGCTCCCCTGTATATGGCTATGGAAAAGCAAGTGTAAAAAAACAGTTCCATTAGAAATTTCTCTCAAAATCTAATGAAAATTTCTATCAATCTTATGTTGGTGATTGTATCTAATGCAGAAAATCAATGCTGCACCAAGTAATGAAGCTTCGGAGGAGAATGCAGTGGATTTTTCTCAGGGATTCTCTGCGACCCACTTTAAGGTAAGTTCTTCTTCTTCTTCTTCTTCTTCCAGTTGAACTTTGGGGATTATAATTGAACAAGTTCTTCCATGTCCTATTGACTAAAAAAATGGAGCTTTTAAACACAGAGAAAATCTTCACTGAGGAAGCACATGGGTTTTTGTCGCTCTGAAAAATCAGCACCAGAAGAATGAGGCTATTAGCGATTCTCCCGCGGCTTCAAAATTTTCTTTTTCTTTTTCTTTTTTGGGGTGTCAAAGCAAATGATAACGACGTGTTACACATATCAGAATCAGATTATTAGAGGAATATTGTTCCTTTTGCTATTGCTCTTATTTTCAATTCAATTTTCCCCCCTAATCTTGTAGGCTGTGTGCCTTATCTTTTTTCCACGTTCTTGCCAATACAATGGGAAACAGAAAAAGCTAAAAATGGACAAAAGAGAAGAAAAAAGAAAAAAAAAAGGTCATTTATTTAAGATTTTATTTATAAGAAACAAAAACCCTCTTGCTCATGAAATATATCCCACTCAAGGGAAGTTGGAACAATAAAAGAAATTAAAAAACGTTCTTCCATGAGATCGTGCCTAAATATTTAATTAGTGATTCAATTAGTGATTCAAGAAGAAAGAAGGTGGCACTAACTTGAGTCTAACTCAATTAATTAAGGTATACATATTTAATTTAAAAGATGTAAAGTTCAAATCTACACAAACATATCGATCTTCTCGGGGGGTGGGATTACATATTCCACGTAGAGTGAAACGAATAAAGAGAGAAAGAACATGATTAAGCAAATAATAATAATGTGGGCAAACAACTCAGAAGGCAACTTTAGATTGGTGATGCCAGCCTAGCTGTTAATCGACCAAACAACATTAGATTACTGAAAGGAAGAGAAAGGAAGGGAAATTGGGGTGAGACAAACATGTTTGTAAGGAAGTTGAAAACGAACCTTCATTTCAAAACCAAAACGGACACAAAAAAACAAGAAAAAGAGCAACCCCACCACTCCTTGGGACACCTACCGACTAGGAATATGATCCATTTAAATGAAACCGCACCAATTATTGAATTTCCTTGTCTTTTCATTTCCTTTTTCTGCAATAAAAAAAAAATGTTTCTTTTCCCTTCAGAAAAATTGCGCCCACATCTTGGAGAACATATGGATTTTGGGTAATCGACAACTCTGCCCACTTCACTCTGACAAGTCCTAATGTCAATCATCTTCTGCTTGCTTCTGCTCTTTCTTCTACACTCATTATACACTAATAAGTTTGAACTACACAACAATCCATTTCAGGACAGAGTCACTAAACCCTACCATAATCTTTGTGATGCAGCTGTATTTCTCTAATTAATTAACACTCCAACTAATTTGTAGTATGATGTTGTAGAAAAAGGAAAACCACGTGTGACAGTTGTTGGTGCATTCCAGCAAACTAGGATTTGAAAATTTGCAATGCCTCCTAAAAAGTTTAATTGAATAGGGCCAATTTTACCTGCTACTAGTAAACTGAACTGGACCAGAGTGCAGGCTTCTTGGAACAAGAGCTATGACCACAGATGAACAGTTCACTAATTGGAAATACCCTTTTCAAAGATGCATTCTACACCATTTAAATTTAAATGTTAAGCATAAATACTTCAAGAACTAGAAGATATGCTTTAGAAGACTTTCACCTGCTGACTCAGACTTCAGGCCAGATCAATTTTCCACGGAAACTCCAGATAAGTATATTGCAAAAGATATATCCTGTAAAGCATATACTAATTCTACTCCAACAGTTCTTCATTCTGAATTAGCAAACAATATATTCCAAAAAGATATAGCCATCGGTAAATAAGAATGCCATGCATAAAACGCTGCCAAATACTAATAACAAAGACGGAGAAAGAACTATGCCTTGATGGGGTGTTTTTATTTCTTTGGTGGGGAGTGGGGGAGGGGGGAGGGCCAATGTAAGAACTTCGTAGACTAAAAGAACTACTACTTTAAGTTATAAAAAAAATTCAATAATACAATACAACACTGCTTTAGACGCTTAGATGACCCCTCCTCCCCAGAACAAAATTGTAAGAAACCGAGAGACGTCAGAGAAAGAATGGTGGATTCCAACATTCAAATATATCCTAAAAATAACACCTTTTATATGAGGACTTAAGTCCCATATATATGTCTGTGCACAGGTGCGGCATCGAAAGTGTTAGCCACTTCTAACCATGGTTTATCCATAATCAAGAGCGAATTTTTGGAGAGGTGTCCAATAAGCAAAACAGGATCTCTAAAAGGAAAAATTTCAAAATTCTTTCTACCATGTAGTCTACCCTCTGTTTGGCAGTCTCTTAACTTACGTTTCAATTTCCCATTTATTGTTGGTGTACCCCGTAAATTCTTCACTGCTGAATCTTGTCCACTTATCATGACATATTCATCATCTTGATCCACAGACATCCTAAAGTCAATTAAGCACATTGCCCTACAAAATAAAACAGAATTTTTCAGTCAGAGCATCAAAATGCATATAGCATGAGGTATGCTATAGATTGAACAGAGCTAAATACGAGTAGGAAGATAGGGTTTCCTAAAAAACCAAATTCCATTTCTAGAAAGGCAATAATATTTGAGTACATTTCACTGCAGCCCATAAAATGATAATATAGAGTGATACCTGGAACTATATACGATAACAGGTAAAGAAGTGGCAGACGGCGGGAAAGAGAGACCAATTACTTCCCCAGGAAATTCTTGGAATCTTTTTGGGAGAGCTTGTGTATGCCGCATCGACCAGTCTCCTAATTTCTTGGCCTCAACATCAAACGCATAGACCTGATTTGAAGAAGTAGTAACTACAAGCACATTGTTGTTCCATTGAGGAAAGCCTCCGGCTGTAATCGAGGCACCATCTAGCCTTGAAATGAACCAGTGTTGCCTGTTCCAAGAGAATAATAATTCGTGCAGAACTTTCTTAGAAACATGAGAATACAGATAGGGAGGGAGGGCAATGATAAGGTAAACATGAGACAATACATCAGCATATCAAGATATCGAACCTCATTATCTCCATATTGAAAATGTATATATCTCCAAAGCAGTTGACTGCAGCTAACCACTGCCCATCTGAACTTGTAAATACTTTTGTTATAGGAGGTTCAGCAGGAGGCAATGTATCATCCTGCAGCTCTCGGAAAGGTGTAAAACTATGTATGACTTCCAAACTGACCACATCCACAACCTGTCCCAAGCAGAAAGGGTTAAGAAATAATAAATTAAATACTACTTAAATGGACCGAACACCAAACCAAAGAATTAGTTTTTTTATTCACCAAGAAAACAGAAATCATTAGAATGCAATTAAGCGACTAACGTAGCAATTAGCTAAAAAAATTCTATTTCAACAGAAACAGAAATATGATAACGACCAACATAATAAATTTTAACATTTCCTGAAATAATTTTACAAAACAATCCCATCACTTCATCCCACACAATGTAAGACATGTTTCATAACTTTACACGCCATCAGAAAAATACATCCAGACAACTAAGGCAAGTGAGTCATATATAAAGGTGCTCAGCCTAAGCAAGCACACTATTCAAATAAAGCATATGTGGACTGGTAAAAGTATGTTTTATAGAAAATATAAAAAACTAGGTTCAATGACATATTTTACTATATAGAAAGACTTACATATATCCTTTTATCATGCCCAGCTATGATCAATCGAGAAGAATCAAAACTAAAGACCATAGAATGGGCAAACGGTAGTGAATGAGGAAGTTGCCTTCGATTAACAGTCCACGAACATTTGCTTCCTCCAGATTTCTTCAATTCAAATAGGTTGGGTTTGGTATGATCAGAATACGCAAATAGCTTGCCAGAGTTGGAAATAGAACTGCAGATAATCTTTCGAGATGCTTTGCTCTTAACTCGAACCAGTAAATCTGCCTGGGCATGTCCCTTAGAAGGGCCACAAGCCATATCTCTAAAGGAACCACTTTTTGGGCGAACACATAGGATGTCCAGAGAGTGAGCAGCCTGAACAAGTAGTAATGGTGCTTGGTTGAACATTGTATTAAGTACTAGTTGCATAGGCACCCTTTGCGGTGCAGGGCATATATCGTGGGGAGAAAATTTAGTAAATTCCTGAGCAGAGTATGCAAACAGCTTTGTATCATCACCACCTGAGATTAACATCGGAACTCCCAAATGGGCCCACTTACGATAGCTAAAATCATTTGGCTTCTTCTTACGACGAACTCTTTTAACCTCATCATCTTGAGACAGCTCTGCTGTTAAGAAAATATTTAAAAAAAGGTAAGAAAACAAAAGGGAACGTACAGAACAAAAAATGACATATATTCAATTTTTATAATGAAATTACCAACAAATCTAGAGTTTTGACCAGATGTATATGATGACAAAGAACCAATATTGATATTGACAAAGGTGATACAAGTAATAAGGAAAAATAACTAATGAATACCTTCTCGACAAATTGGTACAGCTACCGTCAAAGCCCGAATATCATGAGTATGAGCTCTCACATGACCAACATAAATCCATTTCTTCATCACTTCAGAAGAATACTTGTCTTCACTAGATGCAACATTCTCGTTAGAGAGCTTGTAGAGAATAACCTACAAAGACACTGTATTCATAAGACACTAGTATTATGGAATTTGATTTACCACATAGACAGACAATGGAAGCATTAACTTAATTCCTCAGTAACTAAGCTTGGGTTCCATAGTCACTACTAACCAGTGATCCCATTCATCGTTCAGGACAATTTAAAGACTGATGAAACTTAAAAAGCATTCTTATCAGTGACAACTATGAATTTAACCATAAGCTTCAGAAAGGAAACCAAATTGGGACAAGCTATTAACTGATGAGAAATATGGAAAGCCTAATGTTCAAACTAATCCCCTTTTTTCTTCCAAATAAATAAAATAAGATGATTTAAAGCTTGCAAAAGGAAACCACAGCTGATGCAACCTACTGACTTAGACCAAATACAAGTATAATAAAATTGTTGAGCAACACGTGAACTACCCACATGAGCAAACGCCAAGATTGTTAAAGAAATTTCAACTCTAAACATGTCTGCTTGCCCCTCATCTCCCAGTCATTATCTCAATACAAAGCTACTGGCTAAAGCATAGCTCGACTCAACATAAACCTTCTTCTCTTTTTGTTCTTAGAGTTAAGGAAATAAACTGATTACTTGAAGATTATTTCAAATCAGAAAAGAAACTTATCAAATGAAAATGGCCAAAACATTCAATGATTTGTTTTTTGGCATTTCCAACCCATTCTGAAGAGCAGAGAATAAATTTGAAATGTACACGTCAATATATATTTCAATGAAAGTTCTTTACTTAGAAACTAAAACAAATATAAAAAAAATTAAGGAACTATAATAAGAATATTTGAATATAAAGACAAGAATACTATACTGAGTGGTGTACAGACTATATGTGCAAGCACAAAAATGTAGATGACTACATATAGATATATACTTGAAAAACATGATTGCAAGACATCAGTGAGCAGTACAATTTACAAAAGCACTAATATGAAAAAAAATAAAATGACTATCAGTCGGTACCTGACCGTCAGAGCCAGCAGAATACACTCGATTATGATTAGGAGCAGCTGCAAGTGCGTTCACATCACCCTTGTGTAGGGTGTGTGCTTGCAAAAGAGTTCCATGATTACTGTCCCAAAATTGCACACTACCACTACTATCTGCACTGACAAGGGTACCAGACCTGCAATTAACAGGGAACACCAAATAACAGACGCATTCAGAACATAAAAGTATAGTCCTACTCCTGAATGGTAGAAGATATCACCTAACAACTAAGCAATCGCACAGTATGTGATTCTTTACCTAAGGGAAAGTAATGACCATACGCAAAGTTCAGGTCCACTACCCAAACCTCCAAGTCCTACAGTAATCCTATAGATCTCGTGTCCGAGACTAGCATTCCAACATCGAATAAACCTGAAAACAAGCAAACATGAGATAAAGATAACTTCACAGAGCAAATCCAAGTAGGTTCATACTTGAAATACTATATAAATTTTCAGCGCAAGTAACAAGTGATGGTACAAGTACATACCCATCACTGCTCCCAGAAAATATCCGTTCTGCATCATTACTCCATGTTACACTTAAAACCCTACCTGGGAGTAGCAGCAAGACAAAGAGGGCTTAAATATCCAGGTTATGGTAAAATAAAAAAAATGACACGGCAGCAAAGAATCTGGGAATAGATTCTCACCACTGACCCTAGGCAACGATCTTTTGTAGATAAACTCTTCGGCATCTATATTGTAGAGACGCACACAACCGTCATCACAAGCAACTGCTAGAGAGGGATTCTCATCTCTAGATTGCACATGAAGCTCGGATGAATTAGAATCATCATCGCTCTCACTACAATCTTGGTAACCATTCTCATTGTCGATTAAGTGCCCATTTTGCATGTCTTGGGCCTTTACCTTCCTGTCAAGTCCACGACTATTACAGGGTGCAGCAGCAATTTGCCAGATGGAGACGCCAATTGATTCTAAAACAGTCTGTGAACAATAACCATCAATAAAAAATAAACTTATTAAGATAACAACAAAGAAAGGCTTTCTTCTTAAAATAAATATGGAACTTCCAGAGACCCAAAACCACGTTGAAAATTTCAACATTCTCGCGACAAGTTTGCCTATCAATATTTTAAAATCTTCAGTGAACTTGAATCTGCATTAGAAAACGTAGGCAACAATCCTAAACACATTTTGTTTCAGAGAGCACTTAAAGTATAAACTGAGTAAATTAGTGCTAATATAACACCATAATGCACACAAGACCCGTTTTCATAAGTATCTAATGCACCAATCCCACTCTCGAAAAGCTAAGACACTGTTCTATCAAGAATTGCATTAGACATATGGCCACCAGTCGGAAAACAACACAATGCATTAATCCGTTAAAGTGAAGTGCGGAAGACTACAGCAAAGAAACAGCAGTTTTGGCGGACGCAAGAATGTATACCTTCTGCTTCAAATCAAACAGATCCCACTCCGAAATAGAACCATCGATGCTGGAAGAAAATAAGCGACCAGAGGGGCTATCTTTCAAACCGGCACAGCACCAGACAAGTGACGAAACCCTATAGTTAGTGTCTCCACTAATCATCTACATCAAAAAGACAATCCGATCAAACTTCAAAACAAATTAGTCAAGACACCAAAAAAGAATGAAATAAGTGATAATGGACTGTACCAGCTGACAGTGCCACCCGACGGAACCAGGAGATACCAGCCAAATCTCGAGCGAGCCGTCTTCTCGGGCTGCCGCGATCTGAGAGTCATCGGCGCTGGAGGCTAGCGCTACTACAGGAGACGGCTTCCAATCAATTGAGGAATTCCGATAAAATTCAATCATTTTCCCAACAAACACGAGAAAAAATAGTTAGTAGATTCGCGTCGGGACCGACCAAGCAAGAACTTGGGAGAAGAAATAGGGCATCTAAAACACAGAAAAACAATGAGAGGAATGGACGGAGGCGACTAGGATTAGGAGGAGGATAGTTGCAGAAGAAATGGGGCAATCGAAACACACAAAGAACAAACAAATAGAATGGGGAACCAGCGAAGGAGGCGACTTAGGTTTAAGAGGGTTTAAGACCTGCAGGTATATATTGCCGGTTCATTCCGGATTTCTCATTCGGCCGGGTCGGTTTATTTCTCAGGATTATGTTCAAAACCATTTATACATGTCAATTAAAAAACTTTTTTCTATTTTTTAATTGTAGTCATATTTATTCGATCATCTTTTTCGGATTTTGTTCATATTCCAGCTCTAATTAATTTCAAGTTTGTTTCGGTAGATATGATAATAGATAAAACTGGATTGAAAATTTGAAAAATAAGACTCGCTTTATAACTATTTTATTTTTTATTTTGTATTTTTAAAAATTATGCTGGTTTATTTATTACTTTTTTGTGTACTTTTACATTTTTTTAAAATACATTTAAATTATTAGTCAAATTAAAAAAGAAAAAAACAAGTTTTTGAAAATTAATTTTTTACAAAAGTTAGCTAAGGTTTAAAAAGCATTTTTAAAAATAATATAAAAACAAAGTTTAATTTTAAAAATGAAATAGTAATTAAACAAGAACTAAATAATTTTACGTTTACGTAGATTTTAAGTTCTCAATATATTATTCAAGAGTTCAGTGTCTTTTATGATATTTTATTTGTATATGGAAGGGAGGTCCCTTTTCTTTGGCATTTATGATTTTTATTTTAAATTTAGTTTAGATTTTCTTTTTAACAATAGTTAAGAAATCATTTTATATATATTATAAAAAATATTTTATATTTCTAAGTATTTGCGTCTAAAGTTTTGAACAGATTAATATTCAAAGCTGTTTCAAAAAAGATATTAATATTCAAAGCATTTTCTGTTAAGATTTTTTTTTTTTAATTCAAAATGATGACGTTTAAATTTGGCAAGGTAAACATCATCGCCTACTATTGTAAGGGCACTTTTGGTATTTGCATGGTTGTTCTTGTTGCGTGCTCTATTGAATATAATTTTAAAATTATTTCATTTATGATTTTTTAAAAATAACCCATCCAATGGCTATTTGTGTAATAAGCCTTCATTTTTTTTGGGCCAAAATTTCCCACCCCTTCATTCCACACGGTAAAATGTGGGCTTTTCTTATTTATAGCGATTGAAAATGGGCCCTTTCCTAGAAACGGGCCTGCATATTTCATTTTTGTTTTCGGCGAAAATTACGGTTACGATTTATTATATAGCCAGATTATATATTCTTCTCGATTTACTCTTATTTTGATATTTTTGTTTCCAATTATAATTATTTAATTAAAATTATTTTAAAATTTTCATTAAATTTACAAAATATTTAATAGAAACATAACATATAAGTTATATAACTATATTTTTTACAGCAAATACGAAGCACGAAGATTTAAACTTTCATCGTCAAAGAAATGAGTAGATGCTATATAATTAAGTATATGTTTGGTTTATTTATTTAATGAATAAATGCTTATATACCTAAGTACTTAGGTATATGTACATCCAATCATCGACAATATAATAGTTTACAATATTTTAGCAATCATCGACAATAGTCAACTAACGGTCAAAATGACCTTATGAATGGTTTAGAACCATTTTGAAACTCGAGAGACGAAAGAGATAGTTCATTTGGGCACAATGAAATTAAAATAATTTTTTAAGTTAATAACTAGGCTCATTTGTTTTAGATATTTCCATCCACGTCGACATTTTCATAAGTAAAATGGTCATATTCTTACATTTAATGGTTAAAGGTGATCAACCATAGGCTAATTAAGTTACCATTCAAGTTGCTAATTCAAAAAATTTCCATCAATTTTTCACAATTTCCATTTTTTTTTCCGAAATATCCGTCGATATCTACATGTTCATAAAATCGATATATCTACATTTCCATCGACATCGACATTTCGGACAAAAGTAAAAGCTAAATAATATTATTTGTTATATATTTAAACAAATCAATTCGTTGAGCGCTAATAATCTTTCTCGAATACTTTTATCTTTGAATTTGAACTTCTATATTTAAATTGTGATACTTCATACTAGCCATATTTATACCTTAACCAAAAAAAAAAAACAATAATAAATAGGGGAGGCAAAATAGTATTGTAAAATAAAATATATATCTATATCTATAGGCAAGGAAATATACGTAGCCAGCTAAATTTTGAAAACTAATATATATATATATTTTTTCATAAAGTTGGGTTAACAATTCAAGGGAGTTTTTTTTTATAATTTTTTTTTTATGTAAAATTAAGTTATAAACAAATTTAGATGGGAATTGAAGGGTGGGAGGGCACATGACTATATATATATATATGTAATAGGTTAAGCATTGGCCTTTAAAACAAATTTAGATTTAGTCATGTCACTTCGAAGTAGTTGTTTACTGTTTTTTTTTTAAGAGACAAATTGTTGTTTACTGTTATTTCGTTTTCTAAGTCATGTCAACTTGATAAATTTTGATTGTAAAAAATAAATTTTATCGTTTCTATTTCTTATTCCTATTCATTTTTTTTTATTTTTGTTTTGTTTTTTAAATTTCTATATCTAGGGAGACTTTAACTTAAATAAATAATATATCTTTGTCACCTAAATTCCATCACTCTCTCCCTACCTATGTCCAAGTTTGATCCCCATGGGCATGCAAAACGCAAAGTTATTTTAAAAATATTGTATTTTAATTAAAAATGTTTAAAATATGATATGTTTTGAAACTTTTTTTAAAAATATAGTAAGTTTTAAAAAAGTGAAGGGTGGTCGTCTCTTGTCCCTTGAAGAGACGACCATTTAGACGTGGCGCCACGCGGGTGCCACGTAAACATCACTTGTGATTCTTTTTTCGTGTGGCCGGCTGTGTGCCCTCCACCCTGCAAATAAAATATTCACATACTCAAAATCCATTAAAATTTTGTTTTACCACTAAAATGTTCTATACATTTTTCTTACCTTTATAGTGGTAAAAGTCATCTTATTGGAATAAATCTTTGTGTACCTATAAAATAAAAACATCAATAAACCATGGTAAAATCATTGGGTTAAATACAAACTCAAAATTAAATGGACAAAAAGAAAAAAAAAAAGGTTTCAAAGGTATTTACCCGGCAACCTGATGATTGATGAACCATGGCCTCCAATCATCGACAATAGAATAGTTTAACGATTTAATCCATGCTTGAGTGTCCAAGTGAGATACCAACATGTCATGATCCCCACTATTTTCATCGATATATTAGTAATGATATTTAACGTCGTAAAATAATATGGTTGTGGTTGTTGTTGTTCAAAGTTTGCAAATTACCTAAATATTAAAGAGCGAAAACCTTGAGAGCTGATATTCTTGTGATATGGTACAGCATTGTCAATGTCGTAATCGTAGTCCAGAGTAGGATTGCATCTTATCCATTCTTTAATAGTTCCCTATAAAACCATGTTTGATTGTTTAATACTATATAAAGAGACTAAAGCTATTTTTTGAAGTAATTTTCTTTTACCTCACGGATGTGAAGCGCTTTTCGAACTTCTTCATGATTAGCCCAACTATGAGGGAGTGCATCAATGTAATTCTAAGGATTTGAAAAGAAAAGGAAATAAAATTTAAGAGGAGAATATTCACTATAGTGGTTGCATAGATATAACGACCTTTACAAAATTTAAAAGTGAGTTTATGTTGGAAGATAAAAACTTACAATGCAGCTCGACTTAGAAAATTGATCCTCTAGCTGATTAAGGAATGGTTCAGGGATGCTATGGAGAGATCTTCGAAGCAGTGTTTTTTGCGAACAATAAGGCAACAAAATGTGTTGTTTGTCGAGTCTTGAAATACACTAAGATGAGGAAAAAATAACACCAAACACAAACACATTATTTATACCAAGTATAGATTTCGCACCTGTCCTGAGGCTCGGACCGGGAAGACAACAAGGGCTTTTAATATTAATTTCGTCGGAACAAAAAATTCTAGAAGGTATTATTCATCTTCCTAGTCTTCGACACCAGAAAAATTCTTTTTCTTGTTCTTGTGTCGAAATAATAAAATAATTAATTATTATTTATCCCGTTCGTGAAAGATCCCTATTCTTGGTTTCAATTTTTCCCAGGGTTTGAAGTTGAGACCACTAAGCTAGCATGACCAAGAGACCACGAACTCTCGCCAATCAAGCTGCTCTTGGGGCCTCAACATACTTCAAAAATCCACCTACCCAGTTTCAAGATGGAAAGGAAGAGGGCCTTGGAAACCAGGAACATATTTCAAACCAGAGTGAGAGGCAGCAACTACAACACGAGAAAACAATTGAAGCAGGAGAATCGAGAGACAATGGAAATGGAGGGTTGCCATATGAATATCTCAGCTTTGGCCTTCGGAAATGGTTGGATTTGGAAAGGAAGGACTCAGAAAACAAAATTAAATCCACCCAACACCGACGCCAAAAACAACATAAATTCTTTCGGATTACCCAGAGCAACGTGTCCGCCGACCTCACACCTCACACATTCATAATGGTTTCGACCCATTCTAAAAATTCTTGTAAAAAAATTGCACCATGAAGATTCAATTTTAAAATTAAACTCTCAAATTTATCATTCTCACCTCTCTCTCCTCGGTCTATTTCTCCGTTGTACAATGCAAACAAAATCTGCTCACCATCACCATGCCGCTTCTTATCCCACCTCCACCAAACTTTCTCAACATTCTCCATACAACCTTCTAGATCCGATTTCTTCCTCTTCCCACAAATAAGATATCTTATGTAAACTATAGTCCGATGGCGCATGCATGCACCTAAATTGCATCACTCTCTCCCTACCTATGTCCAAGTTCAATCCCCAAGATAGGAAAAACACTATTTTTATTTTCTTATATTTTATTAAACAAAAAATATATTTTTTATCTATTAAATTTAGAATATTTTGAAAATTTATTTTTTTATTTAAAGCTATTATATTTCCTTAAAAAAGAAAATTTATTTTTTAAATTCAAAATATTATTTTTATTTGAAATTGATAATTTATACTTTTGTATGAAAAAAATTTATATGGTAAATTATATATATTTTTAATGAATTATACTATTCTAATATATATCATATCTACTAAATGTTAATTTAACTAAAATTAAAAATAAGCTAACCTAAGTTAAGTATATATTATCTGTCAAGATTGTGGGTTCGAATCCACATATTGTTGTATTAAAAATAATCGTTGATATGAACCTACATTATTACTCTAGTTGTATCGTATTTAATGAGTGTATAAAACTTATTTGTCAATCATTTTTTTTATAGTGTATCTCAAAATAAAATAAAAAAACATTCTTTATAAGTTACTTAATTTATGTGACTCTATCAGTATTTCAATTGACAAATGAGACCTCGAGATTATTCTCACATTCAAATTCTTGTGACCAGAAAAAGTTATATATATTTATTCTTTCTATTAAACGCACCGAAGTAAAAAAGCAAAGAAAAAAAAAAGGTCCAAAATGGCTCTGAACACTATCTTTCTCGAACCAAAAACACTTTATAATTGTTTTCCTTAAACTTTCTACATTCAATTTAGTTATAATTTTAATTTTTTTTAAAATTTTTTGCTTCTGTTTTTCAGAATTAAATAACTATTTTATTTAGTAAAAGTAAAATGTTCCAATTTTGCCCTTAATCAAATAATGTTTAACCAAAATTTAAAATTTAGAGACGTAATTAATAAATACAAAACCTAAAAATTATAAATTCATGACTCAACTTACTTTTTTTTTAAATAAAAAAATTGTATTTGGAATTACTTTTTTTTTAAATAAAAATATACAATTACATTTAAAAATTTCCAATGCTTAGATCAATATTAGCTCCCCGCTATGGATCATAGATTTGAATTTCTTACTCCTCGGTGCAACATAGTATTAAAAAAATGATGAAATATACATTTTTTTTTCCTAAGTAACTTTTCAATTTATTCCCTATATATTTTTTAAAAGTTCCAATACAGTACATAATCTATATTGGGTTGTTTTTCAATTTAGTCCCTCGTATTTTAACTTTTATCAATTATTTCCTCTTTTGATGGTGAATGTTAAAATTAGTTAAAAAGAGGGAACCGTTTCTAGTTCTTCATTCAAATTTATAAGAAGTTAACATAAGTTTATACTTTTCACATTAACAGATGACAATGATTGACAAAGGTTAAAACACAAAGACACTAAATTTAAAATTTAAAAACAACAAATACTAAATTGAAAGAAACACCTGACACATTATTCGAACTAAAACATATATTTATTTAGAAAAAGAGAGAAGAGATTCCCTAATTTTACAAATAATATATTACTTTACCTCCTTAGAAGTTGGATGAATTAAGTAGATCAGAGCCACATCAATTGGGCAGTGATTGTGAACGTCATTATCATTATCACCATTGACCCTGTTGTAGAACGAAGCAAAGACTTCGATTCTGCACCACAAATGGAGAAAGCGCTACGTCATTGGGTTGAGGTATTCCAATTCCAAGCCTTATCGAGAGGAAAAGACAATTTTACAGAAAAAGAAAGAAGATGAAAGGTTTAGACCTGAAAATCGCCATAGTTTCAATGGCTATGGTCATGGTGCAGCAGCTGTACATGTCGGAATCGAGCCACGCCCTCCACCCTCTGATCCTCATCCCCGGCGCCGGAGGGAACCAGCTGGAGGCCCGGCTGACCAAAGAGTACAGATCTTCGAGCTTATTCTGCAGCCGGTGGAAACCCGTCGTGAAGGACGCCGACGGGTGGTTCAGGCTCTGGTTCAGCCCCACCGTCCTGTTGGCTCCATATACAGATTGCTTCGCTCACCGAATGACCCTTCATTACGACAGGGATTCGGATGATTATAGAAACGCCATTGGGGTTCAAACCAGAGTCCCCAAATTTGGCTCTGTTCAGTCTCTTCTCTACCTTGATCCTCGTCTCAAGTAAGCTTTCTTCTTCCCCAGATGAGATTCAAGAGCCCAATTTGGCCGTTTGATTGACCCTCGCACTAAATATAGTCTTTTACCAACCTGAAAAACAACCCATTTTTCCTTTTCTTTTCTTTTTATCCAAAAATTATTTAGCAGCGGATACTATTACAGTCAATCATCAAAGTAACTCATGGCCAAACCAGAGAGACCAAATTGAAAAATTACTAGGATTACATAGAAATTATGCCCCAACTATATGGATCAAATTCCTAGTTTAACCTTTAAATATATTGCGGCGAGGTTAGCTTGAGCTTTTGGATTCAATGATAGTTTAATATGATTTAGTGAGAGGCGCATGATAATTACTTGTTGAATCTTCTGTTAATTTCTATACTATAATCTATAATTTATTAGTTTGGCTTTTAGACATTGTAGTGATTTTTCATGTATTCAAATAGGTTATGTGCTCAAAAGTAATTTCATTTCCTGGCCGACTAATATTAATAATCACTTGTTAAGCCATGTGATAATTTTCATTCACAGATCAAGAATATGAATGAACATACCGTTGGTTTGCAGGCACATCACAGCATATATGGCGCCGTTGGTGAAATCTTTAGAAGAAATTGGGTATGTGCGAGACAAAACCCTGTTTGGGGCACCCTACGATTTCCGATACGGCTTGGCTCCAGAAGGTCATCCCTGTGAAGTGGGTTCCAAGTTCCTGAAGGATCTAAAAGAATTGATCGAAAAAGCAAGCGTTTCAAATGGGGGAAAACCAGTAATTCTCGTCTCCCATAGCTTAGGGGGTCTCTTCGCCCTCCAATTCCTCAACCGAAACCCGTCCTCTTGGCGTAGACATTTCATCAAACACCTGGTGGCCCTGTCCACGCCATGGGGCGGATCCGTCGAGGAGATGCGCACATTCGCCTCGGGGAACACCCTCGGCGTCCCGCTGGTGAACCCATTGCTTGTAAGAACAGAGCAACGGAGCTCCGAGAGCAACCTCTGGCTCTTGCCCAACCCCAAAATCTATGGGGCCAAAAACCCGATAGTGATTACTCAAAACTATTCCAATTACGCGGTTGAAGACATCCCTCGATTTCTCAACGATATTGGATTTGCAGAGGGTGTTTTTCCTTACGAATCTCGCATATTGCCACTGATGGACCAATTACAAGCACCTGGCGTGCGTGTGACTTGCATAATCGGAGGGGGTGTGAGGACGCCGGAGACTCTGTTCTACGGGAAGAATGGGTTCGATGAGCAACCGGAAATGGGTTATGGAGATGGCGATGGGACGGTGAACATGGTGAGCTTGCGGGCGCTTGAGCGATTATGGGCCGAGGAGGAAGAGAAGAACCAAACCCTAACCACGATCGAACTTCGCGGCATTTCTCATAAATCGATTTTGGAGAATGGAGATGCTTTGGATGTAATAAAGAGGGAAATTTGTAGTATAAATTCTGTTGGCTGTGGGCACCCACATCCACAATCACATGTTGAGATTTGAGAATCTAATTCCATTATTTTACACGATTGTTTAGAGAATTACAAATCGTTAAATGTATAAAATCGCAAGTAGAAACTACGACATTAAATCAACACAGAAGCTAATTCCTAAAACTAGGGCTTACCCGGTTCCAGAAGAAGACGAAGAAGAAGCTGAGACTCGAGGGCAGCCATTTGAAGCGGGAGCAAAGCAATTTTGGAGCCAACGAAATTTTTGGGGAACTTTGGAATTGGACCGTCATGAGTTTTTTCTCTTTTTAAATTAACTATTTCTTTTCACCATTCACACGTGTGTGTAACTCTTTTTTAATGATTTTTGTATTATTATTATATTTATGACGGCACTCAAGGACGACATCATCATCATCGTCATGATTATTATTATTATTATTATTATTATTTTTTAGTATAATGCCATTATTAATTGTTATAAAATCGTGATTAAAAGTTTTAGGTTAAAGATGTATTTCAACTTTAAACTTTAATGCATCAATGTTACATGAGATAGATACTAATTATAGATACTAATTATGGTTTGAGATATGTTCGTTTTGACTTTAATGTTACATTAGAGTTACTTTATTAACTTTTTTTTAGTTTAGCACTTGAGTGAGAATAGAAGTATCGACTTTAATAGACAATTTATTCGGTGATCTACATATTTAGATTGACAAATTATTTTATTATCTAAGAGTAGACACAAACGCTAATTTTATTTGAAATTTAGCTTATTCATATAAATATTTAATAAATAAACTAACGTACAGGAAACTCATGTATCTACCATTCATTATGTTTTGTAAACGTTTTAAAAAAAATAGATAACATATAGAAACATATTGGTAAAACTAGTGTATATAAACTAGGATTTTAAAATACATATCAAACGAGACCTACCGTTTGATAATAATTTCAGTTTTTGGTATTTAAATAATAAGGGAAAAGTTAAAAACAAAAGGAGTAAAGTTGAGAGCAAACATTGCTTAGAGAAAGAAAGATAAATTATAGAGAGAAAATTTTAGACAAAAAAATTAAAATATATATTTGTTTAAGAAAAATAGATAAATAAAAAAATTTGAAAGAAAATTAAAAAAGAAAGAATTTAGATGTAGAAAAGTTGGATGTACATTTGTTAGAGAGAAAATATTAGAAAGATAAAAGAAAAGTTATAAAAAGCTAAATTTAACTTAGTAAATATTCAAAATTTGAAAGAGATAAATTTAGTAGAAAAAAATTTAGAGAAAAAAGAAATATATGTTAGAAAGAAATATGTCCAAAGAAAAAATGAAGTTTCAAAAACATTTTTGAAAAACAGAAAACATAAAATTTAATTGGGAAAAACAATAGATGAAAAACGAAATTGTTTTGAAACACCCTCTTAATTAATTATTTTGGTTCTAATAAAATTTTCTTGGAAGGTAGAAGAAAATCTAAAATCTCCTTTGAAAGAGCAAAATCCTCTATAGAGTCAGATTCCCACAAAGATATTAAGTTCGATGGTATTAATATTAAATGAAAAAAAAAATTATCTATTTGTTTTGGATCAGTCCCATAATTAAACATTTGATTTTAAACTAATTTTCATTCTTCAACCATTTACCTACAAAGCTTTTTTCTTTTTGGAAAAAACTTTGTTCCTCAAGGCCAACGCTTCTTATTATAATATGACCCAATAATAAGTTCACAAGCGTTGGCTTTGGGTTTTTCCAAGTTTTTTATAAAGATTCTCCCGTTATCCATCTACTAAACATTATGCTGGATTCCTTTACCTTGTGTCCAACTGTGTGCCCTCCACCCTAAAAATTCACAAAGAAAAATGCACAATTAAATCACTTGTGGTATGAGAAACTTACTTATTTTACATTGATATTAGTTGCAAATGTCATCTTATTTGTATAAGTTCTCGTGTATCTGCCTAAAATAAGAATCGTTATTAAGCCAACGAATTAAAGCATATGTCACAATATAAATAAAATCATTACCCAGCTACTTGATTCTCAATGAACCATGGCCTCCAATCATCGACAATGGAATAATTCAAATAATTCAAAGATTTGATCCATGCTTGAGTGTCCATAGATGGCACCATCATATCATGATCCCCACTATATTTGGATCAAATTAAATAATTAGAACAAATAAAATTCTGGCAAACAACCAATCATTTACCAAAGATTTATACATCACCTATAGATCAAAGACCGATAACCTTTAGAACTAAGGTTCACATGATAAGGAACAACACTTCTAATATCATATTGATAATCTTTTGACTTACATCTGAACCATTCTCCGACGCTGCCCTGTTTAAAAAGACAAGTCTAGATTCAATACACTCGTTAGTATTTAAAACATTCTCTTTCAATAACTTCTCTTTGTACTACCTCACGTATATGAAGTGCTCTTCGAACTTGGTCGTCGTTAGCCCAATCATAAGAAAGCAAGTATTTATACGTCTACATAACAAGTATGATTGAAGATCATTGGAGCATTTTCATAAAAGATAATTAGTGCCCAACTAGGTAAAAATATATATATAAAAGAAATAAAAGTAGAGATCTACGAGTAAAGAGATCATTGAAGAAATTACATCGCAGCCAGGGACAACAGGGATGTTGTAAAGAGATCTACGAGTACTAGATACATCTAGTCGTTTCGGATATGGAACTGGACAATTGGGCCACAAAATACATCCCTCATTAACTCCGGAGACACACTAAGATGGTGAACAAAAGAAAACACAAGATATATCAATTTTGACAATAGAAAAAAAAGTAAACTTGGGTAAATAACAACTATATATCATATCATATAATGTAAAACGATGCGCACAAACCTTTTGGTATGTATTGTAATGTCTTAAGCACTCTGCGTTATTTGGATCAATATTTACGTATTCCCCTTTGCAACTACTTTTCAAGGACTGTACATGAATTCATAGTTAAGATCAATGTTTACATGTTTATGTTTTTTTTTTCCTTTATATATTTTTTCATTCAACAAACTATATGTTACCTCAAATAATTCATCGGAGATGAGGGTCTTGCTATGAGCAAATGGGATTGCAAAATTTTTATTTGAACCGTTGATAGTCACAGGATTTCCTAATATGTATCCCTCACATTGGAAAAAGAAAAAGAAAATGAGTTAGTATTCTCCATTTTATGCATTTATCTGGAGCCCAAATGACAAAGAGAAGGCAAAAAAAAAAAAAAACAGGGGAAAGAATTCTGATAAGAAACCTGGAAATTTATATATGTAAAAATATGCCTATTTCCTGTGACATTAAACAAATTATACCTTCTAAATTTGATCAAAACTATGAAAATAAAAAAGAATTTATACCTTCTAAAATTTTTTGAGCAATACCAGGAACAATCATACCAGAGTACGAGTCTCCGCCAACATAGAATGGATTTGATACAAATTCTGGATGTTCGACCAACCACTACAGATTCCAAGACAAAGAAAAGGAAAGAATGCTTGATTTTAAACAACAACACATGAAATTTTTAGAAGTCACTCTAATATATAAAACGTACCTTTCTCAAAAATTGATGAGAATGATTAATTTGATTAAAATCTCCCGATTTAAGATGTTCTGGAGTTGTACCATATGAAAAACCAGTTTCCATAGGCAAATCTACAAATATTATACTTGATTGCTAGAATTCATGCATTATCACCACATGAAAGTTAGTCTAACGATGGATGAAATACAATGAAAGAAGTTAAAAATGACCCTATTTCTTTAAGAACAAAACTTGCATAAATGAGATCAATATGCAAGTTTAGTTTTTCTTTTAACACTTAGAGAATATATAATTGTCACCTTGGTCCATGAGTAAGGGTTCAAGATTAGTTGAGGCAGGCTCCCATTGTACAATACTTCCTTAAAACTTATCGGACCTTCAAATAAATACATTATAAAATCATCACAATTAAAGTTGTCAATCAATTCAAATAATTAAAACATTAATCAAATCATAGACTATAATATTTTATACATGAGATCGAGCAAATGAATCTATATATTTACCAATCCCAAAGAGAAGTGCGGACAGGGAAGAGCAACCGGGGCCGCCGGTGCGCCAGAGAATTAGAGGATCTGTTTGGGGATTTCCGTCGGATTTGACAAAATAGTAAAACACTTGGGCTTCCTCCGAATCCCCCACCCCCACGTATCTGATTATATATACATAATTTCAAAATCCATAAATAAATCTCTCGTTCCAATTTCACTGAAACGAAGAAGAAAGAAATTAACTGACCCTGTTTCGAGTTCGAAAGGAAGAGGAGCAGGGAATCCCGGCAGAAACTTCACTCTCGCTCCGCCGGCGCCGGAGACCTCAAGAACAAGAACCAACAAAAACCAAAACCCCATCTTCCTTCTTTTTTCTTTTTCAGTCGTCTATTGAGTGAGAGAATAAATGCGATTGTTCTCTCTCTGAAATATCTTCGATCCAATTTTGCCCTGTCGTCCAAAACAAACACGTGTTATACAGAGAAAAAAAAAAAGAAACGTGAAAATGAATAATGATACTTATCGATATACCGCTAAAATAAAAAAAATAAAAAAATAATTGAATTTAAAAAGACCAGGCCCATAGAATGGACCAGCCCCTCCTGGATGGGGCACAAGTTGTGCGCTTATTTTTTTTGATTTCTCGATTTCTTTTTTTTTTCCTATAATAATAATATAATTTTTACTATTGATCCATATTTTTATTTCTGTTGATTTTTTTTTAACTGTGGACCTATTTTTCTTTTCCAATCTAATTATAAATTTTTAAACCTATCTTTCAATTTCTAATAACTCAATTTAATCATGGTATATATACACATATCAATATTTCATATCTTATTCAATTATGTAGCTAAGATTAGATTTTGTTATAAATTATTAATAAAACATAATTAAGGAACGTTGAACTTCAATTTATTCCTTTACTAATTTAAATTATTTTCATCGATCTTTGTTATTTTGTTCCGACATTTCTATCGACATCGATATTTTCATAAGTTACTCATATTTTACA